GATTGTGATAAGAGCTGTACAAGCCCCCAATAAAATGATTTTTTTTAAAAGAAGAGTTTATTCTACATTATTTTTGTAATCTTAAGCAATTAACCATCTCTGTGTCTGTGGAAAGCATACAATCCTTCTGGGGATTTCCAAGGCAGTGTTTTTGGGCACCCTCTGCATGAGTTTCACACATTGTTTTGCAAGGAGCCGACGCGGTATGCAACTCAAGTGACTCCAAATACACCAAAAGATACTCAAGAAAAAACCAAATGAAAATTCATGAAGAAAAGTATTTTGTAAAACAAATTTCTTAAGTTAGAAGTAAAAATGAAGGGTATTTCCCCTCTTGTTTTACAAAGCAAGGGCTCAGGTGACTTTCATGTTTCAAATATTCTAGGGCATTCTGATACAGGTCAAAAAGGCACTACATGCAATAGTCCTACTTATTTTGATACATGGAATAGTTCATGCTAAACAGTAAATCAAGGTGAACTTTCCAAAAGCTCACCAACATTGAACGGATTCCTACTCACAGAGCCCTGGTGGCCCAGTGGCCACGTGCTAGGGGAAGGCTGGCGGCTCTAGATAAGCAGCTGCTCCACAGGAAAAGGATGAGTCTGCTTCCATGGAGGTTTACAGCCTTGGGCACCCTCTGCAGCAGTTCTACGCTGTTCTAGAGAGTTGCAGTGAGTTCTTATAAAAAAATAATACTTTAAAGCACAGGACAAAGTTGGATAAAAGTCATGGGTGGGGTGAGGCAAAAACACAAAACTTAATAATAAGCTGCACCATGGGCTGCTAGTCCCAAGGTCAGTCCTTCGAACCTGCCACTCCCTCTGTGGGGTAAAAAAAAAAGAGGTTTTCTGCTTCTCTAAATATTTACATTCTTGAAAACCCACAGGGCAATTGCACTATCTTCTAGGGCCACTACTAGTTGGAATACAGTTGATAGCAGTGAGTGTATCTCGAATAGCACACAAAAGTGATTTATGTGACTGATTTTCTAGAAAAATTGCTATCTGGTAACTGACATTCAATAATGAACCCTTTCTAAGTGCCTGACCTTTTCTTGGCTGAGCTATGAGCAGACTACACTGCAGGAGGAGGGACATTTGCGGAAGTAGATGGTATAGCGTCAGGCTATATCTCTGGGACCAAAATGGGGCCCATGCACTTGGTGGGGGACACAGTGGAACAAGGCAAACACAGCTGTCGTTCAGAGCACCAACTTTACTTAAAGATTGGAATTCTAAAATGCAGTGCCAGCTCCTTTCGGTCAGTCCAATTTTCTAACATAATCACACTGCATCTGCATTTAACTCATTAACCAAGCAAAAAGGTAAAAACTGGTGTTCTTCTTTATGGTACGTGATATAAAACACCATTTTTATGTGACTATAAGGATGTATCGTATAGTAGAATTTAAAATTCAAATGAACATATAATATAAATATCAAATTCTAAAAATACACTTGGTACAGACCTGTGCCTATGCCCTAGGTCTATGCGGTTCACTCTCTTCTATTTTTTCCATGGAAAAGAGAAATACTGGTGTAAAATGACTAGGCACTGAAGTCTAGCAGGTGGGGTCTAAATTCCCACTGGAACACTTATTGTGAGCACTTAAACATTTTATTTCACCTTTTGAACTTTAGCCCCCATGTCTAGAAGATGGAAGCAAGAATTTCTCTCTTGCAATGTTTGTGTGAGGATTAAATGGAGTAAGTATGTATGTTAGCAGGCAAGGCAAAGAATGGAAATGTTAGCGCTTTCAAGAAATGAGTGAAGCCAACTCAAGTCCTCTCACTTTATCGTGGCCAGGGCTCTCCTCCTGCTGTTGCCTTTGCAGCTCCTCAACTTGAGCCTGTAGGGCCATTACTTTGGCAGTCATTTCTTCTTCCCGAGCCTTTATGGTAAAAAAAGGGTAATGTGTTTATAAATAAATCTATCAAAGGAACGTTGGAGAGAGTCAACAGAGTACAGACAAAACTATCTCTGTTGGAAAAAATAAAAGCATTACGAGTTCAGTGGTTTTCTTTTCATTCAATATTTTGCTCTAGGCAGTATCTTTTACACCACAATTTTAATTCCAAGTCTTTTTAATGCTATATAGATGATGCCTAAAACACACCACTTTCCTAAATGCACTTCCAGTTTCTACAAGGCAACTAACCAGCAGTTAATTTACTTTTGAACTAGAGCTACCAGGATTCAGCAAAGGAACAATTAAGTGTACACCACTGCCGTGGCAAACAACATAAAACCTGTATTTAATGACTTTGGCCTTTCCCATCTTGGAATTTGATTTCCAGAAACTATACATTATAATAAACTATCCACTGTCATTGAGCTGATTCCAACTCATCACAGACTAGAGCAGTAGTTCTCAACCTTCCTAAGGCCACGATCCTTCCATACGGTTCCTCAGGTTGTGGTGACCCCCTAACCATAAAATTATTTTCGTTGCTATTTCGTAACTGTCATTTTGCTACTGCTATGAATCGTAATGTAAATGTCTGATATGCAAGATGTATTTTCACTATTACAAATTGAACATAATTAAAGCATAGTGGTTAATCACAAAAACAATTATGTAATTATATATTGTGAAATATTTATTTCCAATGACAAATAAATGAAATTTTGTCTTGAAGCACGGTGTAGCACAGGTCAGTCGTCAAGCTGGGTACTCATAGGTGGGCGTTTCTGCATGTGGGCGGACCCGGCTGGAGACAGAGAGAGGTGCAGTGTCTCGGTTCCTAAGACTATCCGAAATACGTGTTTTCTGATGGTCTTAGGTAACTCTTGTGAAAGGGTCGTTTGACCCCCAAAGGAGTCGCAACCCACAGGTTGAGAACCGCTGGACTAGAGGTTTATAGGACTAGATTTACAGATCCAGCACTGCTCTATCAGCTGGAAACCTGTTGTTCACAGAAGACTAGACTTCTGTCACCCCCTTTGGATGGGCTCTAGGTCTACACAGTCCTTGGGTTGTTATGAGTCAGGACTGACATGACAGCCATGAGATGGATGGGCTTTATACATCATGGGATGGTTCTTAGATCGATTTCAGCAAGCCTGTAATCTTCTGCCTCTGTCACACCAGAGGTTCTTTGGCTTAAAATGTTTAAGTAAATACTTTTTGGGGGAAAAGCAATCAATCAATCATTAAAACATCCATCAACATGGGATCAAACTGACAACAGCAGCTTGGAAGGTCAGATAGACACTTTATGTTAATGGGGCAAGAACAACTTAGCCAAAGAAGATGAGAACAGTTACACAACATGAAGAATGAAGGAAGCCACTGCACTGTGCATTAGTATATGTGTTTGCTTAGAACATTCTCAACAAAAACAAATTACTTTTTTAAGGATAACGGTTGGTATTTATAGGCATGTGTCATATTCTGAATTTGAAACAGTTCAATTATATTAGAAATATTACTAGAAACTGTTCCCTTTTCAGATTTCTATTATTACCATAGTTAGTTGAGGCATGATTCTTTTGATTTACACATTCTTAGTCATAAAACCATTCTTGGCATATAATGAAATCAGGACTAACTAAAAAGTCTGCAAGCTAACCAAGAATGTAATCATTTTCCATTTGAAAGTATTCTCACTAGTATCCATGGCTTATCTTCATACACAAGAATAACATTAACAACCCACTATCCGTAAATACATTAAGATTTAGCTGATACATTCCATTGCCCCCCTACTCTCCACCAACACCAATCTTTATTTCCCGTTGAAACCAACAAAAACCATCTGAAAATTGGGTAGTGACAGAATACACCAAACCAAACTCATTTCTTACTCATAATGACCCTGGACATTATGGACAGTATAAAACTGTCCCTCTGGGTTTCCAAAGATGTAAAATTTTATGGGTGTACAAAGTCTCACCTTTCTCCAATGGATTGGCTGGTGGGTTCAAACTGCTGACTTTGTGGCTAACAGCCCAACACATAAACCAATATGTAAACAAAACAAAACTCATTGTCATCAAATCACCAGAGGTTCTCAACCTTCCTAATGCCCTGACCCTTAATACTGTTCCTCATGTTATGGTGAGCCCCCAACCATAAAATTATTTTCATTACTACTTCATAACTGTAATTTTGCTGTTATGAATCATTCGACCCCCAAAGGGGTCACAAAAGGGGTCACAACCCACAGATTGTGAACCGTTGCTCTAGCACATGGTAAAACTAACCATCAATTTCCAAGATTGTAACTCTTCACAGGAGTAGAATGCCCTATCTTTCTCCCACAGATGGGCTGGTAGTTTCAAACTGCTGACCTTGCAGTTAGCAGCCCAACTTATAGCCACTACAACACCAGGTTTCCTCTTATAGTACAGGGCCCTGTAATAAAGTTAAACTTAATTGGCACTCCCTGCAAGACCCCAGCTGAGATAAACAGTCACACTCAAACAAACACTAGTAACATAGATGTGAAGATGCGCAAACTCTCAACTCTTAACTGGTCTGGGTTTCTCACAATTCAGTCTGAAACTAGAAGCTATTCTTCCCCTTAACTAATGATTCACTATTGCTTCAGTGCCAGTAGAGACTGTATTGCCTGGTTAGCAAAATCTGATGAGGAAGCTACAACCCTGATAGAAATCAGAAATCAATTAGACTCTTTAAGAACTCTACCTTTAATACAGAAGCACTAATTTGAACAATATTGACCCCCAAAACCCTCTATATTAGAAAAACAGGAAACCTGATGACCCATCCTTTAAAAAAAAAAAATTATTTAGCACTACCATGAAATCTATTACAGCTAGGTTTTGGGGAAATAGAGACCAAAAAAAATTAGGTACGTCAAGGATTTCTTCATATCTTTTGGCTGTTCTTTTTAGATCATCTTCTTTCTCTGCAATCTTTCTATGTAACTGATTTGTCTCTTCTTGATGACTTTCCAAAAGTTCAGCTTCCACCTCTTGAGCCTTACCTATTAAATAAAAAAATGAGCACACACAAGAAAACATGCTAGGTAACAGTATCAATATTCCCTCCTGTCCCAACCCTCATTCCAAGTCAATTTTTACAAAAATCCTTTTTCTAGAATTATTATAAAATGTTTAATGAGGCATGCAGGCCAACAGTGATCAAATATCCCCCTCCACAGAGCAGAGGCTTCTTCACAAGGTAATGGCTGTTTTGTAGCTGCTCTTACCTACTCCTCCTCCCCTTAAGGCAGCCCACATAAGAACTGGAGAGAGAGTAATTTTTTCCTCCCGCTTAATTGCTTAAAGCACTTAGTAGAAGTGTAAAAAGAATAAGTTTAAATTACAAATAGCCCCTGCTGATTCTGATTTTTGTCCCATTTTTACTTACTGATGGTTTCTTTGATGGTCATTTCCAGCTCCTGTTCCTTTTGTGCGAGCTGTGTATTAAACTCCCTCACCAGCTGTTTCAATGTGGAATTGTGCTTCAACTCAAGATCTTCTTGCTCCAGTCTGAGTAATAAAATTGTAAAGTTAACTGCTACCACACAAAAAAGCAAAATGCGAAAGGTTACTTGGTCTTCAAAACCAGTGTATGCAGCTTTGATACCAGGGGCTCAAGTGGAACGCGAATGTTTTGAGAATGATGAGGGCAACAAATGTACAAATGTGCTTGGCACAATGGATATATGTATGGATTGTGGTAAGAGTTGTACGAGCCCCCAATAAAATGATTAAAAAAACAAAACAAAAAACAGTGCATGCAGTTTGAATTCACTGGTATAAAAAGTTCTAAGGACATACATGCACATGTAGACAGACATATACGTGCATGCTCAGGCACAGAAAATTTCTGGAGGGATATATAAACAATTACCTCAAGGAAGTGGTCCTGGGGATTAGAGGGCTTTTTCTTTCCCCTTTTATATTTTCACTATATTATATACTAATAATGCTAATAATGATTTTTTTAAAGAAAATAATTAGTGGGTATATATCTAACAGCATCTTGCATGCAAGAAATGATTTCCCACTTGATGGCTATGGTATAGCATTTTCTATTGGGTAGACTAGATGCAGCTTATAGTAACTATATTAGGGGGAAAAAGGAGGGGGGGTACTCAATTAAAGCAGACTGCCTTAAAGGTAGAGTCTGCTGGCGCTGTCAGTTAAGGATTAAACTGTTGACTGCAAGGTCTGAGGTTCAAACCTCCCCACTGCCCCTGCCCACTGGTGCCCCCCAGGAGAAAGGTGAGACTATCTGGTCCCATAAAGATCCACAGCCTCAGAAATCTTAACGGAAGTTTGCTGAGTCTGAATCAACTGGGTATCAGTAGGTTGGGTGGGACCTTTACAGTATTCATGCTAAAACCAAACTTACTTGATTTTCTCCTCCATTTCTTTCTCACATTCTTTCTTTACTATATCCAATTCTTGCTGATGCTCCTTCCGCAATATTCGAAAATCTTTCTGCAATTTAGCAATCTCCTTGCCCAGCCTCTGCTTCTCCTGCTCAGCCCCAGCTAACTTAAATTCCAGGTCATTGTGCTGGGTCTCCATGTTACCAAGTAATTTAGTTCGGACCACATGTGATTTTGATGTGTTTTCAGCACTTTCTTCTAGAAATTCTGTGGATTTATTTTTTCTGGCCATTTGTTGTTGAAAAGCCTGCAATTCTTCATATTTCGAGGTCAACTCTTCCATTTCAACTCTATGTATTTCCTTCTCTCTTACTAAGCACGAATCCAGCTCTTTTATCTTCTGCTCCAAGCTCTGACAGGTTCGTTCCTTCTCCTGGAGAGCTTTCTGGACATCATCATCCACATTTGCTAAGGACAACTCTGATCCTGTGTGATTTTTCCCTCCTCCTTCCATATGCTGGGATACTACTAAGGCGTAGTTCTTGGTTTTTTCTTCCAGTTCTTCCTTCAGATGATTTATCATGACTTGATCCTCATGTTGCTTTGTTTCAGCATGTTCTAACTTTATTAAGAGTTCCTGGTATTTACAAAGAACTTCAGAATGAGAAGAGAGTCTCTCCTCTTTTTCCTGCTCCAGCCTCTGTAATGACATTTCTTTCTCAGTTAAACTCCTCTGTAAGTCCCGTATTGTTTCTTCGTGTACTTTAGGCAAACCACCTTGGGAATCTGCTGCTTCTTGTCTGTTACTCGCTGCCACGTTTTTTGCTGACTTGGGAACAACTGATGTTTCTGGTTGTGGTAAACGTTCTACTGATTTAAGTTTTTCTTCCAAGATGAGAATCTCCTTCTCTCTCTCTTGTAATTTTGTATTTAGCTCACTTAAATGGCTTTCTCTATCTTTTTTATATTGCTGCTCCTTGTCTTCCATTTGAGATAACAACTGTTTCTTGATGGCGGCAATTTTTTGTTCAGCCTTTTTCTTCAGTTCTGCTAATTTTACAACACTTTCCGACTCAAGCCTACCTTCCAGTGCCTTTAACTCCTCCTCTTTGCTTTTCACACTTGAATTCACACGTTCCAATTCTTTATTCTGAGTTTCAAGTTCAGACTTCATAGAAGATAGTTGCTTTTCAAGTCTTAATACTTTTTCTTCAGCTTCTATAACCCTATTGTCCTTTTCTTCTCCTAACTCTTGGATGTGCTGAAGTTTTTGAACCAGTTCCTTCTGTTCAATATCCTTTTGTTGATTGCAACTTTTAAGGACTTCACGTAAGGACACAATTTCCATTGTTTTCTGAGTAATATTTTCTTCTAACTCCACAATTCTTGCTGTTTGAGTTTTTAACTCAGTCTCTAAATTACATTTCTTTTTCTCCATCTTACTCTTCTTATCTTCCATTTCACCCTTTAAACATTCAAATCTTTTATTTTGCTGGCCAAGGTCTTCCTTTAATACATTTAGCTGCTCCTCCTTCTCACTGGCTTCCTTCGTTTTTAACTCAAGCTGCATCTGCAGCTCTTTAATAGTATTTTGATTCTGTGTAAATTTTGACTGTGCTTTTTTCTTCCACTCTGAAAATTTGTTGGACAACTGATCTACCTGCTCAAGAGCAGAGGTTTTCTCTTTACCCAGAGTGTCAACTTTCAAAGACAGATCCTGCACCTGCTCCAGCAATCCCCGCCGTTCTTCATCGTACTCCTTACTTAGTGATGAAATGGCTGCTTCTTTTTCCGTTAGGCTAATGCTCTTCTGAAGTTGATCATTCAAATCAGTTAGTTGCTTATTAAGACTGCTGATCTCAGATTTTTTTTCTGTAAGTTCTTCTTTCATCAATGTGACGGCATTGATGTTTTCAGAGAGCTCTTTCTTTAGCTGTGTGATACAAGACTCCTTTTCAGAGGCGGCCTGTTGCTGATTGCCTCCTTCCTTCTGTAAGGCCTCTTTTTCTGAGACAAGACCATCAATGTCAGCCTTCAGGCTCTTAATTTGCCTTTCCTTTTCCTCTAGGTGATAGGTAGCCTGTTGAAAAGAACTCTGTAGTGTATTTTGCTCTTCTGTAAGTTGTTTAAGTTGTGCTTCTAATTCAGAAACTTTGCAAGTTTGAATTAGTAGTGTCTCCTTAACTTTACTTGTGTGGCGTTGACAATGTGAAATTCTAGAAAGAATGGCATTAATTTTCCTATTGCTAATGTCGACTAGCTCATTTGTTTTCAGTTGTAGTACGGCTTCCGTTTTCTTACAATGAATATCTAATTCCTCTGACAACTTCTTGAATTCCAAGCTTTTGTCCTCTAGATTTTTCTTACTTTGTTCATGTGAATATTTCAAATTCTGGAATTCTTCATCTGTGGCTTTTAGTTTGTCAGTCAACTCAGAAACCTTAAGCTTATCTTGTTCTGCCAGTGTCTTTAGTTCAATTAGCTGCTCCTGAAGAAGACTATTCTCCTTCAGAGAATGACTTAGGTCAACCTCTAGTTTTTCAAGTTGTGCTTTCAGTTTATTTTCATTTTGCAAGAGAGAATTCAAATGAGCAGACTTCTGCTTTAACTGTTCCTGTAATTCATCTAATACCGTAACCCGCTTCACACCTTCTTCCTTCAGCCACACTACTTCCTTGTTCATCTCTTCTTTTTCACATCCAAATATGAGGATCTTTTGTTTCAGATCTGCCACCTCTTGTTCTTTTTCCTGTAACTGAGCTTCATGTTTTTCCTGCAGTTCTTCAGCTTGCTGGTTAAGTCTCTTTTCCCAGGTTACGATGACATCACTGAGCACTCGCTGGTGCACCTCAGTAAGACTTGCTATTTGCTCCTCCTGGTTTGTTTCCAGTCTTGACACCACATCATTGATTCCAGCTGAGTTAGCCTGTGCCATTTCTAACATTTTGGCATTGAACTGTTTTTCTTTCTCACTAAGTTCTAGAACAGTGTTTTCAAGCTCTTTTTTAAGTTTGGCTTCCTGATCCACCAATTTCTTCTTTAATGTTTCTTGCACCTCCTTGGCTTTCTGCTTAATTTTTTCCATCTTTTTTTCTTGGTTTTTAAATTTGGTTTCATATCCCTCGTGCAAAGTACGAATACTGTCCTCCTTGGCTAACAATTTCTGTTTGAGTATTTCAATCTCTTTGCTCTGTCCTTCTCTCATTTGTAAAATTAAAGTTTCCTTCTCCATCACTATTTGCTTTGTCTGTTCCTGCTCTGTGTTAATATCTTTCAGTTTGGACTCGTAGAGTTGGGTTAGGGATTTTAGTTTTTGCTCCATTTCACTACTCTGTTTTTCAAGTTGCTGCATTAATTCCTGAACCTGCGTTTTTTGAGTTTCTAACTCAGTACTAACATCATTCTTTTGTGTTTCAATTTCAGCTACCTGTTTGGTGAGAAGAAGTCTTTCTGCTTCTAAATCTAACAACCTTTTCTGCAATTGGGCCAACTGTTCCTCACATGCTTTTGCCTGGTCATCTGAGATACTCTGGTATGACTGAAAAAGATCCAGCTTAGCAGAAGTCTGCTGGAGTTCCCCTTCAGACCTCTTAATATCTGCCTCTAAGTTCACCACATGAGCTTGATGCTCTTTCAAATGCTGGTCCTTTTCCTTTAAGAGAAGCCCAAGTTGATTAATTTCCTCTTTCAATGCTTTCTCTGTTTTCTGAAATGACAGCTCTTGTTCTTTAAGGATATTGCCAACTTGTTGCTGGTGAAGGTTTCTCTGTTCATCCAGTTTGGCCTCTAACTGCTGCTTCACTTTATCTGCCTGGTCCTTTACTGCAGAAAGTTCTTCTTCTAGTTTCTGACGGGTGTTTAATACTTCAGACAGTTCAGAAGATAAGGATTCCAGTTCTGTTTGCTTCACATCAAGTTTTTCTAAAGTTTTTTCATTCATCTCCTTTATGTGGGCCTGGAAAAGAATCTCTTTGTCTTTCAGCAGTATTTCTTTCTCTTGTTCATACTTTTCTCTCAGGTTTTCTATTTCTGCCTGATGCTGTTGCTTGAAGACTTCGAGTTTTCCAGTCCAAAGGTTACCTTGCTGCTGCTTTAGACTTTCCAATTCTGTCTTGTGTTTTTCAACCATAATTGTGATTTCTTTATTGTGCTTATTTTGTTCAGCTTCCAAATGAATAGCTAAATCTTCTGATTGATTTTTGCTTTCTTGTAAACTTTTGTTCAAGGAACTTTCCAATTCAAGAATTCTCTGTTAGTAAAAACAGATATAGTGTTATCAAAATATATACTTACTTATTAACAGTGGCATACATGACATGATGCTTATCACCTAAAGACTGAAATTCAGATAAATAACTACATATCACACCAAATATGAGAAAGGAAAAAAATCTCGCTATATTAAATTGATATAGAACTCATATAGCAAAGAAAAGAACCCAACTCATAATTTGATTCTTTCTGCATATTTTGGTAATGATTTTAATCAGCTGTTCTTCTAAGTACATTCTACCTGGATAAGAAAATATAAATAAATCATAAAGTACATATACTAGCTGTGGTTACTGTGTGCTGTTGAGTCAACCCTCTAGGACAGAGCACGACTGCTCCACTGGGTGTCTTAGTAAAGCAGAGCACCTGCTCTTTTCTTCCCCGTGCCACCAGTGAGCTTCAACTGCTGACCTTCGGGTTAGCAAGCAAGCGCTTAACTATTAAGCTACCAGGGCTCCTTTAACTGTTAGGAGGGAGAGGATTTTTTTGTTTTTTAAAGTCTACAGTAGTATTCTATTGCTTTCATAATTTGGGGGGGTGGGGGCTGTAATATATCTGATTTTTATACCCCAAAATTATTTAATATACCATTTTTTAAAAGAAACAAGTTTGACCAAAGATTACTATTATCTCACACACTTTCCATCTTAACTCTCACAAAAGGTTAAAGATAGAAAGCCCTAAGTCAGGGAGCCAGGGAAGAGGCTGGAGGACAGTGCTCAGGGCATTTTTAGGAAAACGCAACTATGCTACATGATACCACTATGGTAGACACCTGGCATTGCCGTTTTCAAAGCCCAGTTTTGAAACCCACAGTTTCAAAACACAAAAAAAAGTAAAACCTAACATGAAATATGGATCTAGGTCATAATAATATATCTATATGGGCTTATCAATGATAACAAATATATTCAGGTAAGTTAAAAAGTATTGCCACAAAACCAAATAAATCATTATTTTTAAAAAGTATCCAAATGTTTCTTGACATAGCCTCCATCTTGGTCTACAAACTTCCTAAAGATGGTGGCTCCTCTGCAGGACCAGTGGTGTGAGTGGCGAAACGGGGAGGGTAGAGGGAGAGGGGGTAGGAAAGAGGGAACCGATTACAAGGAACTATATGTGACCTCCTCCCTGGGGGTCAGACAACAGAAAAGTGGGTGAAGGGAGACATCAGACAGGGCAAGATATGACAAAATACCCATTTATAAACTATCAAGGGCTCACGAGGGAGGGGGGAGCGGGGAGGGAGGGGAAAAATGAGGACCTAATGCCGGGGGTTTAAGTGGAGAGAAAATGTTTTGAGAATGATGAGGGCAATGAATTACAAATGCGCTTTACACAATTGATGTGTGTATGGATTGTGATAAAAGTTGTATGAGCCCCTAATAAAATGATTAAAAAAAAAAAAAAAGATGGTGGCTCCATCTCTACAAGTCTTTCCCAAAAACTTCATTCTTCAATTTACACCATTGGGCATCTCAATGGACTCAAGTTGTGTTCCTTTTCAATACTGTTGAGGTTTTGTTTGTTTGTTTGGGGGGGGCCTGAAATGAAGTCTGAGGGGCAAGATGAGGGCTTTTGAGTGGACAGGATGATTTCCCAAAAGAATTCATATAGGACAGCCCTTGCTCGCTTCACAGAATGAGCACTGTCAGGATGAAAAACTCCTTGGCGCAACTTTCCCAGTCTGCTTCTCACCAGTGCAATTCTCAATGGGTTAAAATGTATTCATAGTATGCCCCGTAATTCTCTTGTGTCCTTTGGGGAGGAAAAAAAAATCCATCAAAATTATCCCTTGGGAATTAAAAAACAACAACAGTTGCTGTATGCTGTAGCCTTCTCAGCTGACCGCTCTGCCTTGAATTGAACAGGCTCAGTAGACCCCTTCAGAAGTGACTTTTTTGATTGGGTATTTTTTTAAAGGCACCCTAATGAAACTAAGGCAAGTATATTATTCAAACAACCACTTGCAGCTACTCAATGATCTCAGAGGTATGTTTAAACAAGTTTTGCTTGGTATCAACCATATATATATATAAACTAGAACTTTAATAGCAATACTTTTTTACTTACTCTCACACCTTAGGAATATAAGATGTTAATAAATGACTAGGGGGTATACAGTACTCTCTATATGTTCTCACAATGTTTGTGTAAACTTAAAACTACTCTACCATTTACTGGCCGGGGGGTGGGGGTGGGGGGTGTAACAGTGGCAATCAGAATAAGATCTTAAGGAATTACCAAATCCATTCTCTTCGTGTGACAGGTGAGGAATTTAAATTATTAATAATAATTTACAAAGCTTGCAAGTAGATGAATAAAACCTCGTAAGTACCGGCTGCTTTCTTCAATGCTACCTTTCATACATGTCACCAATAGGAAAATAAAGCAGTATAGAAACTATAAGAGGTTTTATTTGTTTTACTGCCTAGTTCAATGCAAAAATACTAAAAGAGCACCTGCAAAAAATGAATTGACAAAGTTGTGTGATAGCTATTATTTACAACAATGCCACCTCCCTAAAAAGAGCATATGACCATAAAATTCGTGGAATTTGGTTCCTTGGTTTGTGGGTTATCTAGGGTCACGGTTTCACAGGACATCTCATTCAATAGGTCTAATAACATGTCTGTTCTACCTCTTTGCTCCTTGTGTAACGCGGGAGGTATTAAGAGCTTGCAAGCTGCCATCCAAGGCACAACAACTGATGTCTATTCATCTGGAGCAATAGAGAAAGGAGATGCATCAGGAATAGGAAGGAGATATGGAATGTGAGAGTAACTGCTTCCATGAACAACTGCCTCTTTTGCCATGAGATCAAAAGAACTGGATGTTACCCACTTACCATAACTGAATATTTTGATTAAAGACTATAAAAGGATCCTGATCAAAAGGGGGAAATGTACACAAGAGTTTCAAATCCGCATGGACTCTAAACTTCCAGGAAGTTAAGATGAATTTCTGAAATCATTGCCCTGAAATAATCTTTAAGTCTTAAGCTAAAAATATCCCTTAAAAATCTTAACACTTAAACAATAGTTTAGCATTACTAATTAAAAATGTATGCCTTGAACATTGTGCTCTTTTAAGAACTATCTACATATGATCAAAAAACAACAGCAACTTGAAAGATTAGACAGGAACATTAGGGGGCAGAGAGCATATGTCAAAGGGAGGGGACCAACTCAAAAATGGAGGTGAGGACAGCTGCACAATTTGAAGCATAGAATCAATGTCACTACATGCTACATGCAGACACTGCGAAACTAGTGTGCGAAGTAGCTCCAGAAAGTAAGGGTCAGAGGGCCTTAAAACATGCATACTGAGTCATATATGTAAACATATTCACTTCAAAATAATTGTTAACATGGAAAAACTGGGGAAAATATAAGTGTAGAAGGAGGGCATTGGTATTGATAAATTGTTATATAAGCAGAGAATGGATTCTATTCGGGATGTGGCATGAGATGAAGCTGCTCAAGCAGGAAGGTGTCTGGGAAAGTACTGCCTACAAAGTGAGGCAGCTTCCTCGCAATCAGGAGTGAGGTGTGGCACGGCAATGCTGCAGCACCTGGGTGAAAAGCAGCAGAGAGAATGACTAATGGAAATCAGCCAGCTGAAGGCAGAATCAGGACCACCATGTAGCAAAGAGGGAGCCCAAAGCCCAAACCACTCCCATAAATAGTGCTCACTAAAAACGAAGTGCATGCACGTGTCCACCTAACCGAGTAAAACCGAAGCTTCTCCACACCATTATTGTGACGACAGCAGCAACAGTTCTCATATACAGTGACGCCCAGCTCTAGATACTTACAGTTCTGTAAGTCTCTGCCTCTTGCTGAAGCTCCCTAAGTTTATTTTCACTTTCTGCAAGAATTGCTTTTTTCTGCAACTCTAGCTCTTCCAGGGCCAAAGATTCTTGCTGTTCTTTTTCTTGGGTGATCTTCAAATAGTCTGACTGACTCTTTTCCTGTGCCAAAAACAATAATACCACCTTAGACCCAGATAAATCTTCACTGTTCCCAAAGCACTTCCACACGAATCATTTCATTTCATCTTCACACTGGCCCTGTGAGGCAGACAGCATCCACCCCCTCTACTCCCCATGCTCTAATCTGCAGAAAGAAGCAGTGTAATTTTTCCAGTGTGGTCTGGCCAATCTTTGCCACAATTACTATTTATATGAAAATTTTTGTTCCAGTAACCCTACTAATGTCTGCTATTTTTTCCATTACTTAAAATACTTTGCAAAACACCACTGAATGTGAAGGGTCACCCAGTCTTCTACACTCATAGTTTGATATTTCAATGTGAGGTCTAGAAACTAGATTGTTACAGGCTGATAAAATTTTGATAAAATTTGCATTACACCATGAAAATTACATTTAAAATCAGAAGATCACTTGTGAATACAAAGATTACATGAAAGAAATAAATCACAACTCTTTCAGAAAACACTGCCACAAGTTGTCAACTCACAGTAAATCTACAGTACAGGGTAGAACCGCCCCCTATGGGTTTCTGAGACTGTAACTCTTTAAGCAGGAAGAAAACCTCATCTTTCTCCTGAGGAGCTGGTAGTGGTTTTGAACTGCTGACCGAATGCATAGTTGCCTACATAACTTATTTTCAATGATTTGGGCTCCCCTATCACTTCATCAAATTCTCAAAAGTTTCTCCTTCGCCTGTCCTTGTGATATATCAATTTTCACATAATTGTTTACTGTTTTGAAAAGAGAATCTCTAGAAAGTACTTTGAACATTTGATGACTTTGAACTCCAATTTTAAAAAGTGAACTTACTTATCTACACCTACTGCTTAGAGTTTACATTGCCAAAAGCAATATTTTCAGTCCCCAACATTCACCATCTGAGAGCTACATTCTGGCAAGGCATGCTGCCTTATGGAAATATTTTGTACCACATTATAAACAGGTCGATGAATATGAAAATGTCAGTTTCTAAAAAATTCATTTTAAACTATTTTAAGCATACGATGTTTAATGTATACTAAATTTTCAATGCACCCTGAGATGCCAATAAAAATAAAAGGGGACTCTCAGTCTACAAGACTTTGACTATCAACTCAAAGATAACTTCTTCAAGAAACTAGGCAGACAAGGAAGCCAGAAGGGCCATGTGTGCTGGTAAATATGTATATACCTTATTCTTTTTATTTGTAATATATCTGAATGTATCAGTTATTATGACACAAGATTAACAAATGTTTTAGTTTCTTTTATTAAAGATCCTTTACCTCAGTATGAAAACCTCATAATACATTAACAAATATTTTTTAGAATGATTCCCTGATTCAGTTATATCCATTTGACTCTGAATTTCTCTACAGTGTTTTTGATTTATGGGCGTATTGGTAGTTCAGTGATAGAATGTTCTCCTTTTATCAGGAAAGCCAAGCTTAATTCCTACTCAATGCATCTTATGCACAGCCACCACTCATCTGCCAGGGGAGGCTTGGGTGTTGTAACAATTGATGCTGAACATCTGTCGGTGGAGCTTCCAGACTAAGACGGGCTAGGGAAAAGGCCAGGTGACCGACTGTGAAAAGTCAGCTAATGAAAAATCTTAGGGATCACAGCAGTCTCTCCAGCAACCAACTGTGGGGACAGCGCATCACCAGGTAGGGTTTACTCTGTTGTACACAGAGCTGTGTGAGTGGGGGTCAGTTAGTCGGCAACTAAAGACATGGTTAATTTTTGTTTTCTTATTTTGGTTCCAAGTACTCTTGTAAACTGCTTTAAATCCCCTCTGGACCAACACAAAATACAAATAGGAACCTATATACAAATAAACTTAATGACAACACCCTAAACCTCTAACCTCACCCAACTGCTATTGCAAGTCCATGTTCCTATTTTCCCCAAAGAGAAGATTGTCAAACTTTGCTAACTCAGTTCAAGGGTCACTGCTATTGGAAAACCTCAGAAACCCATACCTAAATGAGAGTTGATAAAATATTTATGGGAGAAAAGAGATTAAAACAGTACATTTCTCATCCTTTGATACTAGGAGCATTTTAAAATATATATACTATTTTATGGATTTTATGAACACTTCTTATAAAAATAAGCAAACTACATTTTTGGCATTAATGGTAACTTTGTATCTACAATTGAGTAGTTTGTTTTTTTTAAACTCTCACATTATACTATTCTAATAATTCTTTAGTATATTTGCTGCTTCTTTCGTTGTTGTTTTACTTAGTTTGGTCAGTGTTTTATTTTAATTTTTTTAACAACAAATGGATTGAAGATCACCAATGTGATTATTCTACTTAAAATGAAAACTACTTATTTCCATTTTTTTCTTCAATAAAATACATTTTAGAAAAATCTTTCTGAATCTTGAGCTCTGAGTACACTGAGATTAGGAAGGTCTTACACATGCTTCCTGAATTATCTAGTCATTGGTTGGCCATTTCATCAGCCTATCTACTTTCTCCTTAATCATTACTTAGTGTTAGGGTGGGATTGAGAGAGAGGAAAACAAACTGATTAAAACTGGTTGGTTAGTATATTTAGTTTTCATACATAACCAAATAACAAGCTTTGGGGGCCTCTTCCTGGTCTACTTCCAATCCTCTCTGCATTCCCAAAGGTCAAGGCTTCCAGCGGTCCAATCTCAAGTTGAAGGAAGGCTTTGTACTGGTCCATTCTGGTTATGACCCCCACTGAGAATTTGCATTTCCAATCCAAATCACCTGAATCACAATCTCTATTTTAACATGATCCCCGGGCAATGTGTATATCTCGCTCTGGGATATACACATACACACAGGTCTCATATAGCCCTGATTCAGTATATGTTGGGTGAAAAGGCAAATTCTCAGCAGGAGGTCACACCAGGGAGGAAGGGAGGAAGGCAGGGATGAGAGGATAACTATTTTATGAAACTTCACAAAGTTTACCTTTAGCCAAAAAAAAGCATAGATACTTACTAGAGCCACCTTCATTAGCTCCTGAAATTCTCTTTCTTGAGCCTGAAACCTCTTGGTCAGCTCCTGCTCTTTGCTGGCCAGCTCCTTTTCATGAAGCTTCTGTAACTCAGTGATTTGTTCCTCTGAGGATTTCTGATAAGCAATCAAAGGTACAAAATAAAAACACTCAGAGTAAAATATATAGGTCTACAAATGATCCATAAGTACTTTATAACATTTTAGTTATTAACTAATAACTTAAGAAGAAAGCCAAGACATATTCCCCACATACATCAGTCATCAGTTTCAATAATTAAAAGAAAAAGAAGCAATGTTTCACAGCTCATTAAAAAGGAAGGGCTGCAGTAGTCATTCCCAGAAGCTGAAGCCTCTTGTTGGGATAGTTCCTAATTAGGGAGCAGAGGTCACCAGATAGTAAATGAGACCTGGTGGCACAGTGGACAAAACATCAGGCTGCTAACTGCAAGGCGAGTGGTTCAAACCCACACCTGCTCCTCAGGAGAAAGACAAGACTGTCTACTCCTGTAAAGACTTACACCTTCGCAACAAAGCCCACATGGAAGAAGCACACCAGCTTGTGTGATCATGAGGTGTCAACAGGAAGAGGTCAGAAGTTCAAAAAACACGGAACCAAATCAATGTCAAGGGGAGTAGATGTGGAGACTCTAACTCCAACAAGACAACTGGAGAGCCCCTCTCAGAAGTGCCACAGGGAACGGAAGATAAATCCAGGGTGCAGTATGGCACCGATGAACCACATAACTATCCTCTAGTTCTTTAAGATTTCCTCCCCTTACTATTAAGGTCTTTATGTGATATAACTCATTAATCATTTTAGACTTGCATATGTTCATTCGTATATTTAAGATTGCTCAGTACATGATAGTCAAGAGGGTATGGAAAGTGATGGGGGGGAGGGAGTTGATAGCATTGATGATTGTATAACCCCACCTAATGGGATTGAACAACAGAACTGTAAGGGAAAGGTAGATATATATTGGAGTAAGATATATCAATAATAGTATATATTTTTAAAAAGACAGCTTCAGAAACCCTAAGGAGTAGTTCTGTTCTGTCTTCTAGGGTTCATTTGAGTCAAAATGGACTCAACGGCAGTGAGCAGTGGTGTTACAGATAGTAGGGAGTCACGTATATAGTTAGGACACTCAACTGCCAACCAGCTCTTAAAAGCTCTATGGAGCAAAGTTCTACTCTGACACTGATGGTGTGGACATGACTCAGAACAGACTTGTTAGAAATCAGCTACAGATAGTAAAACCTATTATAAAACTAGAGTAGTATATAGGTCATATATAAACCATAAATATACAAACGCATTTGGGGCTCATACTTAATTCTAACCCCAATCTAAGAACAATATGTTCTTATGACATGGCCCGGCCAGAAGATATGGGTGCTAAAGTAAAGTGTGGTGGAGAAATTAGATGGTATCAGCTATCAGAAATAATAGTGTAGTAACCCACCACTATTCACACTGGTATAACCATAATGAATGAGTTCCCCTGAGAGTAGCCATTCTGTAGTGGCCCACATATGGCCACTTTGCCTTTACTCTCTCTCTCTGTAACTGCTGACTCATGAACATTTACTCTGGAAATTGCTGATGTTGCTTGTAAGCCCCCATTTTATTTTTATAAGTTTTCATTTTTTCTTACAGCATGATGCCACCTGCCGTTGTACCCTGTTTATTCCACAGTATAAAACACTTGTTTTTAACCATTCAGAGTCAAGAGTGAATTGAGCATTAGCTGCCTCTTGACCACAGGCCAATAAAGGGTTATTAATTAATCTTGCAGGTAGGTTAAATGATCTCATTCTGGTACTACAATAGCATCTGGGGTCCTAAAGGTTTGTCTCAAAACACAGCAGCCATCTATGTACGGTGTTTACTAAGTTCACATGAAGATGTACACCAGCCTGTGTGATCCGAGGATTACAAATAATAAAAGCCAAACAAAGGAAGAAATAGTATCAGAGCTTAAATTGTGAACACCCAGTTTGCCAAAGGTTATGGATGACAGTAGAAGACAAAAATCCATTTGCCAGGGTCCCAACAAGTCGTCATTGAATCTGCTCTGACCACACTCGAGGGATATGAATAGCCTTGCTATCATACCGAAAAAGCATTGTAAAGTCTATTATAGCAGATGTAGTTAGGTTAAAATGTATTACTCTTATCATTTGATCTCTATTTTGACTCATTTAAAAGTTGTTTCCATTTTTAATGTTTTCTTCTTAGATAGAGGTTTTTCTATGTTTTGTATAGTAATTATTGTGGGGTTTTCTGTTTATTTTCTTTGTATGGTGGTGTATGATATTTCCGTATATGAAATCCGGGTAGGTAGATCTACAGAGACAGTAACTGGATAGGATATGGCAGGGAGGATTGGGGAAATGAGGAGACAAAAAAATAACGAGTACAATTAGAAAATGCTCTGAAATTGTGATGATTACACAAATCTCAACATGATTGAATGATTAAATTGTATGATATGTGAAGTATGTGCCAATAAAACTTTTAAAAAAATCAATCTCTAGCATAATTTTTAAAATTATTGTTTTTACACAATTTCTTTAGGTTTTACTATGCTATTGGTAATGTAACTTTAGATTTGTTGTCAAATTTGTTTCTTTTATTGATGAACTCTAAGATCTCACAGTTTTTCAAGTTTTCTTGTGCAGTGACTAATGTTAACCAAAATTTTGTTTTACTTTTTAAAAACTGCCTAGATTAAGAGTTTTGGGGGGTTATGTCTAGGGTAGTTGGTGGGAAATGAGGAGCTGATAATAATGAGTACAAGAAAGATGAGAATCTTCTGAATTCACTATGGTGATGACTGCATAACTCTTTTTATTATGTTTAAATTACTGAATTGCATGATATGACTTAAATGTCAATAAAATCGTTAAAATAAAAAATTTAAACTAGAGTCATTATAACAGTACAATAACAATGGTCAAAAAAAGCAATGGCACAGTACAAAAATATTTTTCCTTCTGATTTTTAATAAATAATTTATTAAGTTGTTAGGAATCCATGGTGATCTCTTTATTATATCATATAACTAACTTTTAAAATATATATTTAGTCAAACAACTATAGTTAAGGTCTTATAAATCCAATAACTGGTTAAAAAAAACAACATCAATTTCTACTATGTTTAAAGTTCAATTAAAAAAAACTGCAACTCTGAAACCTAAATCTTTAACTGTCTAAATCTAGAATTGACTTTGAACCAAGTTAGCGATGGAAATCCAGTGAGGCATCAGTGAAGGAACAGGATAAAATGGGCTTAGTGTCAGCAAAGGCAAAATGACAAGAAGAAATAAAGACAAAATCCAAAGCAGAAAAACATGGGTAGGGAAGAGATGGGGACAGGGAAGGGTCCTGATAATGAGAGGTTCACATTTCTTAAAGCATGAAAATGTACAGAATTAATAATTAAAAAAAAAACTTTTCCAAAAAGCTAATTTTGAAATTGAGGTCTATTTGTATTTTTTAAAGTGACACCAGTACTAAGTAATAATGAGCTTTTAAAACAATTAGAAAGGGCCAGCCTAGCCCTTCCTTCACTTCCTCCCGCACCTCCTCAGGCACACATTAAGCAGGTGCCTACGTGGTCAGGTTCTGCAGAGAGTATCTGTGGATACAGCGAGGCAGCCCACCTTTAAGGACATAGAACAGAAGCTGTAACACAATGAAGGCACATCTCAATGAGACCCACTAGATAAAAGGCAATGCTTTAATAGCCCAATAAATTATCCATTAAATTCATTTCCATAACCAAAGTTGTTTTTTCTTACTTCCTGAGCATCATGGTCTCAAATAATTATTTTAATTTTTTTTCTATAGCCAATAACTACTAGGAAAACATAAAAAATAAGTTTAAACAGTGCTATAGTTCACTTCAGTCCAGACTTTCTCTTACTCTCATTATGTCCACAACCTCCTGCTTCACCCGACTTAATTCCTGTTGCAGACTGACGCGCTCCTCCTCGCTTGTCTTCTCAATAGCTTTAATTTGTTCGTCCATTTCTGCTTTCATTTTTTTCCGTGCTTCTTCTGTTTTTTGGGCTGCACTCAAAGCTTTTTCAAGTTCCTCAAAAGCTATAATGAAAACAGAAGACAGGGATTGCAAGAAATACAATCTCTGGACCAAGAATTTTACATTCAGGGTATGGGAACTAAAAGAAGCAGTAGCAGGACTAGTGGGGGAGGGGGGCACAAAAACTCCATGGTTTGAGTCAGAGAGATTTCTAAGTTGCTAAATAAATTCACAAGAAAAGTTCAAGCTCATTAAAACCAATTTGTGGTTGAGCACTGGGGTCTGGACATGAACCTAAACTCGGAAGTTGGTGGAGGACATCAAATTCGTTGCCACTGTCCTTATTAATATTAAATTCAAAGAAAAAAATGTCTCTCTGTACAGTATAGTTACTTATCCATTTATTTAGCTATACAGTCCTTGAAACATCCATTTTTAATCATTACCATATATACTCAAGTATAAGCCGATCCAAATATCAGCCAAGGCTCCTAATTTTACCACAAAAACTGCGCTGGAAAACTTGAGTTATACTCGAGTATATATGGTAGGTAGCACTATTATATATTCTAGGAGTCTGGCTGGTACTATAGGTTAGGGACTGGATTGCTAACTGCAAGTGTCAAACACAATAGCCACTCTGTGAGCGAAAGATGAGGCTATATGTTCCCATAGGAGTGGTTCTCAACCTGTGGGTCAAGACCCCTTTGGGGGGTCGAACAATCCTTTCACAGGGGTTACCCGATTCATACGAGTAGCAAAATTACAGTTATGAAGTAGCAACAAAAATAATGTTATGGTTGGGGGTCACCACAAGATGAGGAACGGTATGAAAGGGTCGCGGCATGTGGAAGGTTGAGAACCACTGCTCTAGAGCCGTGAGCCTTGGGAATCTACATGCGGTCTCCAGGAGCAGAACCAACGCTATGGCAATGAGTCTGAGGAGTTTCCTTCTGTTTGTTTCTGAGTCAGAATTGACTGGACGACCATGAATTTTGGTTTACTGTTTCTTCATTAAGGTGTTTTTAACAACACCAATTTTATTATTTAGTAAATCTTGTTTTTAAAACTTAATCATACAAGAATGGATTTTTGAAAAAATGGACTGGTCAAGCAGTGTATCTTAAAATGAAATCTACTATTGCAAACTAGGATAGTTTTCAGTTGGCTACAGAGAAACTTTTGCCTGATACAACAGGGAGTTTTTTGGGTGAGAAAAGTTAAGAGTTTAGGCACTGCAATAAGAATCCTCTAGGCGACAGTAACAAGGTCTTTAAGGAGGCCGACTAACTGACAGAGCACCAAACACAATCAGATAGCAGCTGGGTGAGTGGGTACCAGTATATGTGTGTGAGTATGTATGTATGTATATGTGTGTACATGTGCATAGTCATATGTGCATACCAGCACAGCACGCATGCATGCACACAGGCGTGATGATATAGGGTAAAAATCCTACTACTATTGTCGAGCTAGACCATTTCCTTTAATCACTTACAGAATAGAAACCCCAGACTTTCCTTTACCATATAGATAAAAATGAAGCACCAAGTTCAGTGTGGGTTTTTTATCCTATCATGAAATGTTATGTCCAAGGAAAATTGAATGACATACAAAGCTGAGGTGTGGATAGAATTTTCAGTCCCAGTAGTATACGAAATGTGGGAACTCCAATCTATAGCATCTTAGAAAAAAGGCCTTTTATTAACCACAACTTGGCTGCACTAACAGTGGTGTATGCACAAGAATTATAAACATCTGTTCTACAGCATTTTCTTAACGGCAGATTTCATTAGGTACATTAAAAAAGCATGAGAAAGGCTGAATTCTACTAATGAGTAGGATATACAACATTGCTCCAACATTGAAAAAAAATCTGGAAATCATATATATTTTTATATATTTAACAAGCCTTATAAATCCAAAATGTATTACTCATTTTTTCTGACCAAATGATAGTCTAAATTTCAAAGGAATGTATTACTTAGCTGAAATTATTTTTAGAGATTTTACTTTAAGCATCATTGGTATTATCCTACAAACACTAAGAACATAATCCTGAAATATAAGTACGTTGGAAAATAAAATATATTCTGGGAAATTAAACATTTTGTTTTACTCTGATAATATTTTACTCTAAATTCTAGTGTCCAGTATATAGAAAACACTAACTCCAGCTAGTAACAATAATTTAGTTTCCTCACTTAAAAAATATAATTAGTCAAGTAAAGTGTCTAATCGAATGGAAGAGTTCATACAACAGAATGCTCACAACTTAGTTTGTGCTGACCATTTGAATCTGGGAAAGAAAAAACTGAAAGAAAAAGAAATTACTTGTATTTTGAATGTCTGGGTGTCATTTGAGCATGTTCATTGCTGTTATGACTCAGCCTGTAGAATATGCTTTAGCACTTCTAAAAGCATTCCCAGAAATATCTAAATCAGGCTATGAAGAGCCTTAGACAATTTTTTGACACTTTTCCAACAAAGTAGAGTTAAATTTAAAGCTTTTGTCAATTAAATAGAATAAACAAAACTAGATATCTTCAATACCAAGTGCATTTCCCTTGTTTTTATTGTTTAAAATTGCAGAGTCTGGCACAGCATAAAAATGCATGTAATGCTCCCACTTTCTCAAACTGTAAAAAAAATCCATATTCCAGTATTTCCATTTAGATATAATTTTCAGTGCATAGTTTTTAACCACAGTCAGCAAAATTTTAAATATTCTCTCATTACTCTAGAGTATATAAAACATTTTCCTAATTCACCTGTTTCCAACACATAGGACTGAGGTAGGATAACTCTGATTCCATAATTCTTTTCATCTGAGTTTAATTTTTCTCCATTTTTGTCATCATGTCAGAGAACCTTACAGCTTCAAGTTGTGTTCTTTTAATTCAATATCTTCATTCAAATTCAATTAACCAAGAAATCAAAATTTTCTCTCATATGGTAAAGTCAATATAAATATATAGACCTGAGGGTAGACCTATAAAATCAGATTTAAGGAACAACTAACACCATGCAATACTATTTAAAACTAAGAATGTTGAAGTGGTTCAAAATTATCTGATCAATAATAATAACATCTTACTGAACCAGAATTCCTAAATTACTGATGGCCTCTAACTCTCAACAAAATGTAGTATACATTATACTTCCAAAAGACATACAAAAACTCATTATTGCTTCCCATCTCTACCTTGCTTTAAGGAAATTTCAAGTAACAAAAAGTTAAAACAAAGAGCAGTGAAACAAATTGTTTACGAGGAGTACTCCCAAAAAACAAATGTAGTTCATTCACCTTTTTCCCATGAGATGAGCATCAAGCAACATGCTCTGAGTTAGTACACCCAGTGGTGTCACCTGGGAAGGTTCTTTCTGGTCACAGTGAATTTTTTCATAAAAGCAGTTTCACTCAAACCTCATTTTTTTGTGATGGCTGACTTAAGGGAAAAGAGTACAGCTGTGAAATTTTGTTTACTGCTCGGGAAAAATGCCGCAGAAACTGTTGTGATGTTGAACACAGCTTACAAGGACAGCACTGTGGGAAAAACTCAGATGTAGGGGTGCTTTTCTCATTTCAAAAAGGTGAAATGTTGATTGACTATAAACCTCATTCTGGATGCCTGTCAACTTCCCGAACAGACGAAAATGTCGACTAGTGGTACATTTGGAGTTCGTTCCACCAGGTCAGACTGTAATCAAGCTTTCTATTTATAGGTTTAAAAAAGATTGCATAATAGTGTGTGACCAAAAAATGGGACTGCTTTATGGCAGATGGGGGACTGGTTTTGCCACCACAATAATGTACCTGCTCACGCAGACATCTCAGTGCACCAATTTTTGGTAAAAAACAGCATGCCTCTTTTGTCCCACAGACCTTACTCACCTGACCTCACTCCATGCAACTTCTTTTTGTTCCCGTAAATGAAGAGGGACATGAAAGGACAATAAGTTGACGACACAGAAAAGGTAAAGAAAAAATGAGGGAAGTGCTGTCAGCCATCCAAATAGATGAGTTTGAAAAATGTTTCCAAGAATGGAATCACAGATTGACAAATGTATTAAGTGTAGTGGAGAGTACTTTGAAGGTAAGAAGGTTGTTTTGTAAAAAAATAAATAAATACGTAGCTTTTGTTGGGGGAGAGTGAATTCTGGGGTTTTAGGGGTACCCCCCCTCGTATATCCACATATAGCAACCAATTTCCAACTCATTTTGGATTCTATATTCTATACAAAGTCATTTTCTTACAGGAAGTCTGCCTCCAAAAGTGAGCCCCATTTGAATGTTTAGGAAGCATACTGAGTTTAGTTGCTAAGCAGAAATAAACTTACCTCTGGTTTTGAAATCGCCAAGCACCGTAAAGTGGTATCCAAAGCCTGTAATATTCTAAATGTGAATTCCTCACTCTTTGCAAAGTACATCTATGCTAGAACTTCAGTGTAAATATTAAAGATGTTCTGAATGTCTGCATAATTAATCTCTCAATGACCAACTGAGGATCTGTGGAGGGCAATGAGCGTGCATCAGCCACAGCTGAGAAGACTTCAGCCAACATGCAAGATTATGCAGAAAACCACGGACAAAACACATAACAGGAAGCCTAAGCATGAACTACGAACTGCTACCGCATATTGCAAGAACACATGTGTTCTTCCAAAGCAAAATTCAATGTATCTCAGGCAATTTTTACTTAAAAGAGAAATAAGATAGATAACATCACAAAACCTTGAAAATATATCTAAGAACAAACTATGAATCTTAAGACTGGTTCTCTGTCAGTTAAGTAAATCACCCCAGGCAGGCCTTTGTTACCCCTCACTTTTCATTCAGACTCACTTACATCATAAAACGGACAAATAGTCACTCCAAGAGTTAGATCAGAAAGGGTGGTGTTCTATAGCTTAAAAGTCAAACCAAACAGTCATCCTCAAATATTTATTGGATGTTTATCATCATATGCCAGACATTGGGTGGCATAAAGAAATCCTCACAAAAAGGCAGTTGAAGTTGTAAAGGGAGGCAGAGTCAAGAACCAAGGCTTAGGAAAATCTA